ATAGATGACATACCAATGATGCACGACAAGTAATACATAAGGAAGTTATCAGTGATGAAAGAAAAACATTTCATAATTTGGTATCCAACAATTTTCACCATATTTTTTGATGATAAGTTGAGAGAATTATAATTTTGATGATAACTTGAGAGAATTATAATTTTGATGATCAGATATTATTAGGACTATACAAACCGTAGTAGTGAGAAGTTGTGAGTCCTCAGTAGCAATCCGGAAACCATTATTTAATGAAGTTATCCGCGTTTCCGGTATATTCAGATAGACTGGCGACGCGGATGCAACAGAACTATGAAAACGAGGCTGCAAAAATACTTATAAAATGATCCAATCATGGAACATAAAAGAACCAAAAAAAATCTAAAACCTACCAAAGTATGATAAAAAATTGAAAAACAGCAACAAGAATACTTACAAAGGGTCGTTGTCGCAAGCAAACGACAAACTGATTCGACAACTGCGGAAGACTGCCGCACTGCAATACTTTTCTCAATGCATACAGCGAAGTACGCATCACACTCAGTCAATTCTCTCTCCCTCTCTATAAATATGAGAAAACTGTACGACTTGACCCGATAGAAACAACCAAAATGATATGGTACTTAAATGCACCACGAAATTGCGTCAACAAGCGTGAGATCTCGAAAATAACGCAGCTCCATCACTATAAACGCGTCTCACGCATTTCAAAAGAAACAATTGCTAGCATGTTCGTTGAGTTCCTGATAAGCATTGGGAGACATGAATTAGGGTAGGATCAATTTAGGAATTGCATCAATGGTAGGCTTGTATTCGATTATAAACACTGAATCTTAAATATGATGAAAGCTTTCTCATGTTATCATATTCCTGATAGGGTAAGATTTCGACAAATCGAATCAATTTAAAAAGTAAAGGATACGAAATACGCAAATTTCTACGTTTTGTATACTCTTCTGTACCATTTTTATTGTAGTTATTGTTACATGATTTGCGCTGATTATCTTAAATTACGAGAGCATGTTGGTACATTTCAAATATAAACTCAGTGGTATATATGAATCGTTTGAAACGTTATACTATCTTTTGTGAATGCATTGCGAAAATTTAAAAAGAAATATTGTAGGTTTCTGCATAAAAGAAAATCATTGTAAAATTTCAGCCACCATATGCTGCAAATACATGGCAAACTAGCGATATTGGGTATATTCGTGCATGTAGTGTTATTGTATTCAATATTTGATATATATTATTCATCACCTTTGGTTACAGGCCTCCGTCCATATTCTATCACTACTGAGAAAGGCCTAGCCGATCGTTTAGTCATTTTCTCAGCTGGTTTGTTTGTTCTCTTGACTACTTTTGATTGATCATTTTTTTTCACATTTTTTAATTAATTTTTCGCAATTATCCATTCCTTTTTGTTGTTAAGAAATATCACAACATCTTCAATTGTTTTCTTTGGAGAATACGTTTCATGTACGAATACTTTAAATTTCTTCCTCAACACAAAAACTTAAATTGCGAGCGTTTTCTTGAAGTTCAAATATGTTTTTACTAGTTTCCAGATGGTTTGCGAGCTGATACTTTCTTCAGTCATCCTGAAAAGTCACCATTCTTGCACGAAGTTATTAATTCAGGCAAGGTAGGTAAATAGATTTAAATTTAGCTAAACCGGAACCAATTAATCGAAAACTACCATATTCGTAAGCCAGTGTACATACTCAAAAAAAGATCAGGAAGATGAAGAGAGCTAATGATGAAATTCTTTTAGTATTTTTAAAATTTGTATTCCTTGATGTGGAACCTTTTTCAGGGTTTCTGGGGTATAAGCGTAAGTCATGTGCCGACCGAATCACGTCCTGGCCATGTAGCAATGCTTGCTGGGTTTTTTGAAGATGTCAGTGCTGTTGCTCGTGGTTGGAAGCATAATCCGGTTCCATTTGATAGCATCATAAATAGGTAAAACTCTAAAACACATAACAACTAGCAACTTCACTCATACAAGTAACCTTTTTTTATTGTTTATATCGTCAAATAAAATTGAATTTTCCAAATAAAGCCGTTTAATACGTACGTTCCAGGAAATGCATTCCAAAGAGATATTGCAGGTCTCGAGAAGCATTTGCTTTTGGTAGTCCGGACGTTGTCCTGATATTTACAGATGATGTCAGACATGCTACTGCGATGGTTTATTCCTCCACATTAGAAGATTTCCAGCAAAACGATGCTGCACAACTGGACCGATGGGTATTCAGAGAAATAGAAGTGAGTTATTGCAGTGCATGTTTTATAAACTTTCATTTTTATTTAGAAACCTGAGTATGTTATGATAGTAGTAAAATAAAAGTTTCAGTTTAGGAACTTCTGAACAGCACAGATGTGACTACTATGAAACGCCTTGCCTCTGATCGCCTTGTATTTTTTCTGCATTTATTGGGATTGGACACAAATGGACACGGTCATAAACCACAGTCAGATAAGTACATTAATAATATTGCAGTCGTTGATGCAGGAATTGCAAGAGTGGTACAGTTACTAAACGATTTCTATGCTGATAACAGGTTCATCTCTTTAACATAAAAAAATATTCAAAAAATTGAGATTGATTTGTTAGATGAAATTTTGGCTTTTTTCGAAATAGGAAACTGATATCGCAATCATTATCATTAATAAGTGAGATCGCTATTAGTATTTCTTTTTTTCATCATCTTATCCCTTTCTTTGTTATCAGTTTATTTTTTTGTTATCACTTTATTTTGATAGATTTAGGACAGTCTTCTTATTCACCTCAGATCACGGGATGACAGATTGGGGTTCACATGGTGCCGGTACAGAAGCCGAATTGATTACACCATTAGTGATTTGGGGTCGTGGTATACGTGGCAGCGCTGTAAGAAATAAAATTAGTCAAGTAAGTTCTTTTTTAGTCTTTATTCTTGTTCTACAATTTTCACAATATCACTCTTACACGGTTCTTAAGGTTTAAGAATGGCTTGTTCAGAAATGTTATAGACATTATTTAAGATTGATCTGTCACCGCTGATGTCTGCTTTGCTTGGTTGCCCGATTCCAATGAATAGTTTTGGCACTGTACCTTTACATCTGCTAGATGCAACACCGAGATACAAATTTGCGGTGGCATACGCTAATTTCAAGCAGGTTTATTGACTGCTTTTTGTTGATTTAATTACTGTTTACTTTTTTAATTACATGTCACTTTAATAATAAACTTTGGATTAAGAATCTTAAACTTTATTAAATAATACACCTTTTGCGATTTTATCTTATTATTGATACATCTTTCGTCTTTGGCCATACGGTTTATAAACCCTTTAGTTCCGTGTAAGTAACAGGAAAGAGACTTAATTATTTAAATATATAAGAATTTTTTCATTACTAATAATTATTATAATAATAGATCAAAACTTTTGCCAGATGTTGGAGCAGTTTATTCTGAAAAAGAATGAAAAAGAATCGCATTCATTGCCTTTTATGTTTCGTGATTTTGACCAACTCCATCCAAACATATTACTCACCATTGAGAGCGAAATCAAAAGACTTGTGACACAAAATAGGTTAGTTTTATTAAAAATTGATTTTTGTTCTCAATTCTTATGTAATTTAAATAAAAATCACTGTTCAGTAATCATTGACAGTTTAATCTGTGGATGAATTAAGTAATGGTTGGCATCCTGAACCTGTTTGGGGAAGCTGATGCACAATGCCTTCTGTGTTGTTTTCACCGTTTGGAGACGTATTATATTTAATAATCAGATCGAAGTATATTATATTTAATGGTCAGATTAAAGTATATTATATTTAATGATCAGATTGAAGTATCTATTGTTCTATAGATTTGACGCAGCTGTAGCAGTATGCGTGCAGTGGATTCCGATTCTTCGAACTGGTTTAATTTATTTTCATCGTCATGACCAAATGTTCTTAGGAATTGCTGTGGCTTCCACTTTTATCACATGGATATTATGCGTTTATTTCATCACATTGAAGTAAAAATTTTTTCGTAGATTGAATCTTGGAATATATTATAAAAAATTGAAAAAACATAACTTCATTAAATGTGATAATTTGATTGACCAACTGTTGAAGACACAGTAACCAATAGACTAACGAAAAGCTTTGATGGTTAGCATCGTAAGCCTTTTCCGGATTATCACTGCTTTTACTTTTGGTTTCTCTTATTTGCAGGCGTTCTCCCACAATTTTGAAAGATAATGATGTGTTAATTCTAAACCTGAAACAATTTACCGTTGTTGGTTCCATGTTTGGCTTATTATTGCTTTGTGGACTACCATTTACGCATACGTTATATCTGACACTTCCCATATATCTCTCATTTGTTTGCTATAATAGAGTTGCCGATATATCTGGTTTTAATGTGGAAATTTTTATCATTAATTGGCACTTAATCCGATCTTCAGAAGTAAGGAAAAAATGGCTTTTGTTGTGCGTCTATTGGTTGTTGTTAGCTATTGCAGTTGGTAAGTTTCGTAGCATAAAGATAGTGGTAGATTTTTATATGGAACCACGAACTAGAGATAAAGACTAAATTACTACTCAAATATTGTTCGAATGTATGATAATTTTTAATATTTTAGTTTCTCTTTTCATAAAACAAACATTTCTGTGAATAGACCTTAGTAATATGGATGGAAAGACTGGATTTCAGATGCGCAAGATTTGTAAGATCGGTTATTTTTTATAGATGAATATTAAAAATAGTTTTATTTATGCTTTCAGCTATAATTCTTGTGATCATTGTTTCCGCATTTATTTATCGTCAAATATTATCGATAGTGTTCTTGGTCTTAGGTTTAATTCCAGTGTTAAGACGTAGAGAAAATCGAGATGTAATTAAATGGTAGGTATTTATTTTGATGCTAGAAATTGCATAAATTTCTTTCAGTTTCAATGAGCTTGGATTTTTATGCTTACGAATTTTATTATGGAAGAGAAAATGTCACCACTGTTAATTTAATACCAACTACGCGATACTGCTATTTTACTGATTCTGTTAACACTTTGAAATGATTGTTGTTGAAATTTTAATTTTTCTGTGACTGTATCTGTTTAGGAAATGGATATGGTTGATATGTTGTTTGGGTATTGCTATATATCCTCAGTTCCCTGTGGTTGGACAAACTCCACTACCCACAGTTTGTGCATTATCGTCTTTCTTTACTTCGCTGTTGATTTTTTGGATCTCTAATTCCTCGGTGTTGTCATCAACAAAAGTGCTCTTCCGGTACCATTCAGCTCTACATCTTCTTGCTACAATCATCGTAATTCTTGTGGATGCTTTCGGGGATTATAAGGTTGGTCGTTCACATAATCAAGCAGGAAAATGATTTTAGGTATTTTATTATCTAGAAAGTTTTTCTCCTATAAAACTGGATGATTTTTATAAGAGGCATTTTTAGTTGTTGTTAATGCTATTACGCTCAGTTTGTTGGCTTTTAATTCCTGTCGCAGCAGTTTTACCACTGTTATCATCTCGGTCAGTTATCATTCGTCTTATCTGCTGGTTCTCATCGCTTATGTTACCATACGGTTTGCTGAGTTTATCATACGAATCATCATTTATGTTGATTCTATTCACTCTTCTCGCTACGTATGTACGATTGGAATTTGGATATATGAATGATAATGAATTTCTAGCTATGTCATTGCCAGAAACAGATAATAAGAAGCTGGTAGCAGGTCAGCCATTTGCCGACTTGAATTTAAATTAGTATTGTAAACGAAGCACTTTAAAACATCAAAGAAAAAAATCTCGGTCTACCAACAGATATTTCTAGGTTTTCTCATTCCAGTAGTTCTGTAACCCCATTTCAGGTGTTAGTGATACGAATTTCATTGAATGGCTTCAGGGCCTAAACTTGGTAATCCTTATTGAAGCAGCTTTCTTCGGTACCGGTAATATAGCCTCATTAAACAGTTTTAATCCGTCATTTCTACGGTGCTTTATATCTGTATTTTCCCCATTTACAATGACAGCTATGTTAATTTTCAAAATATCCTTACCAATTTTGGCCGTTGCTTTTACATACGCCGTTATTGTGCGATTAAAAAAGATCTTAATTGCGAAGTTATCGATGATACTGCTAATCATCTCCGATACAATGGCTCTGGTGATTTTTGAAAATTTATTCAGTTTGACTTCATTTCATCAAATTGTCCAAGTATAGTAATTAAAGACATTAACTCTCACCTAATAGTTTAATACATCGTGATGCTACAGGATCATGATAAATTTTTCATACAGGATTGATTGCAAATTCCATCTTGAGAACAGTCATAAATTTATATATCCTGGACATGACTTGCAAATATGACAGCTTATAGATAACTGAGATTAATTTTAGATCTTCTTTTTTCGACTAGTGGATGAAGGAAGTTGGATGGATATTGGCAGCAGTATAAGTCATTATTTAGTGTGCATGTTATTAACTGTTATAGTATATCTTTTGTTGAATTTTACTGAGTATTTGCTTTCTCTTTCGTTGAGTAAAGTCATGTTCAATGAAGGGACGGTATTCGAACGGAAACGTATACACTCGCTGACCTTGAAATTAAAGAAAGATATCGTTTAATTTTTTCAAATGCACAGGTTTTTGAAAAAAAAAAAAACCGTGCCCAGGAAGAATCGAGTCTGGAGGTCCGAATCTCCGCATTTAACGCTTCATAATATGTATGAATGACATGATTGTTCCAAATGTCAATCAGGAGCCATTTGCGCCTGACTCCATCCGGATGACGTGAACCTTGCATTCATTCTTTGTAGCCTATTGCCGTAATACCTCATTTATATGACCAACATATAGGCTTGCCGATACCAGCCATCAAATAAACGAACCCGATTTATTTGTTAGTTATATTACAAATGATTTTTAACTTTTCTATCTCCTAGGGGTTGGTGCGTGAATTACAGCATATATTCATCTTGAATGATGAACCATGCATATTGTTCACATGTATACTTCGCAGTAAATTATGAAGCGCTAGCTGTATATCATATATTGCACCACTAGGCTTTGTAATGTATCGTATCGTACTATCGCACTTTGTTTTATCATTATAATAAAATTCTAATATGAATAAAAATACTTGCGTTTCAATCGACTACAACTTATTTATTGTAAAACTTCTTTCGATAGATTGCTTATGCAGACTGCTTTTTTCTTCGGGAAAGGCTTACGATACCAATTATTAAAACTTTTACGCAATCTGGTGACCACATCCTTGCAGATTTTATATGTAGAGATTTCCCAAAATGGGTTTATGTTCATAAGAAATAATAAAACGCAGAATTTTATTGCTGAAATACGAATCCATCATTTATAACAACTGATGGGATCGAAAAGAAATCCATACATAGCACTTGGCAGAATGTAATAACGAAACTGTGAATGCCTTCTTATTAAAACTTTTTATTATGTTAAGCACATTCCCATTAACTTGAAACATTATTGAGGTAAAAACCATCCCGGTAAAAATGAAAAGATCCCAGTTGCGGCGACAGACATGAGAAGTTGAGATTTACTTTTGATATAAGATTACAATTTTTCACTATTTTGGTCGCGAACAATCGTCATTTGTTGATGTTCAATTTCGAAACTCAGTAAAAGAAGATAAATGTAAACATCAAAAGCAAAAGTCACAATCTTTGCCGATCACAAAATACACGAATTATAGCACCATACCCACCCCGAGCTAACACCTGAAACAATACCAAATTTATCAAAATCCAACGCAACATGAAAGTAGCATGAAACATTGGTAAAACAAAGTTTTAAGTTTCACAGCATTAGTAATAGACTTTCACTGTATCTGCCAATAATTTTCGGCTAATATTTCGTAGTGAATACTTGAGGTTCCTACATTTCAAAACAATCCCATCTATATGCCACAATATTTGGAGTAACTAATGGTATGATTATAGCAAATGAATCGAGGATCTGTATGGTCTTAAGCCCAAAATATCAGATTTTTTGGAACAATTAGAACTTGATTTAATTTTTAGAAAAAACAGCATCAATGGAAGTTTCCTAGAGACATAACAATTAAGGTAATCCTGGTTAATTAACACATATAGTGATTTGAAATTACCTGGGCATGCCATGACAAAAGATACTGACAAGTTGCATTGTCAGCCTGCGTGTCCATTGCCTTATATATGAACTTCATCAAAAGGTTTACTTCATCATCTGTTAAAGTCTTGACTATACCTTCGATATCCGCACTCTTTACATTCATCAAAACTTTTGTTACGAGTGCAGTTGATCGATCTTTTGCCGTCTGCAATACAACTATCAGTTATGTTAAGTAATTCATAAATTTGGTCAAATATCTGAAATATGAAATGTGCTCAATTAATCAAACGTCAAGATCAAAATTACTTCCAGCAAATCTCAGAAACCGCAATTTTGTGACAAAATTTCGGCATTTATCGCTGTTCCCCTTAATTTTTCTCTCATATTATCTGATGTGATGATCTAAGACAAACCGCTTCTTAATTTTCTCAGAAAATTGGACATGTGAAGATTCGGCAGAACCGACTAGATCAGTCGGCTGAGTGAAACCACCATAGCACATAGCTAATCATTACTTACGGAACTTATGAAACAGTGCATATATAAACATCAACTTCATGGATAGTAAATATTTCTGCCATCCTTCTTTTTTTCCATTTCGTCCCATCCTCCATATTAGATCAATGATCAAAAAAATGGAACATTCAGTGTTGAGAAAAAACATGAATTTCAGTTCAAAATAAACCTGATTTTTGCATTTCAGCGGAGGATTTGATAATGACGCTTTCAACGCTTCTTGCAACTTAGCCGACTGCAATAACTGATTAACGAGTCGTTCATCCGGTCCAATTCCGGGGGTTTCCGCATCTTCACAATCTACAAATTTTTCTGGATCGAAGGCATCAACATCCAGCTTCCGATAACTTGTATTTTCCAAATTTTTCGCCATTTACTAATTCAAATTTCCTTTCTGAAAAAACCACAATTCATAAGAAAATATATTTGGAATTCGATCGCAAGAAAAAAAAAACAATGGAATATAACGGATGGACATCGATGTAAACTAAAAAAAAAAAATGTTGAAATTCATACGAATATTCCCGCAACTTATTCTAATCACCACGTTACTGCATGATGGGTAGATAAGAAAATTTGACGCAAATAACATCAAAACACTCCGCCTATCACCGGAATCCTTCACCTGAACTGTAAAAATTATCACTTCACCCTAACCTATGCCTTTTTTTCACATTCAGACTAACGAAGAATTCCATTACGAAGTGGATAGAACTAACTGAATGTTATATCTTTTCCTCAACCAGACGAGAGAGGAAGAGAGAAATATGATGTGCTTGACGAGCAGCCGGAAATGGTTGTAGCAAGAAGGTTTGTGATCAGGATTGCGTGGGTGATGAGTGCGTGTGCTTGAATAAATTAGGTAGGACGCTTATTTGGTTCTATTTTTTCAACCTGTTCCGCTTGTGAGTGGTGAAATTCCGTCGAACGTGTGAATTTTCATCTCGTTTGAGCTTCGAATATTTAAGTTGCTACACGAGGTATGTTTTATATCGGTGTATTTTCATGTTTAACATTTTATCAATTCACATATATTAATTATATCATGGAAACATTTCGATAAATCATTTTCTTGATATGATTTAGTAGAATTCATATCTTTGAAAAAAGAAAAAAAAAATTTTGGCGTCAAAAGATGGGAAGTATTACTGCGTTAAGTAACTTCTGTCAACAAATATCAAGTGCAGTTTCAATCATTATCCTAAATACAACATTATTTTTTTCCCACAAAATTGGTTATAGCAGTCATTTATTTTCTTCGAGTCCTATTCGTAAGGAAAGTTTTTGATGCAACTTATTCAGGGCTTAGAAAAACACATTTCAATATGATTATTTCCTTGCCGTTCTATCATATCTCAAAATTTTTTGTTTTGATTCATACAGTTTAGAATTTGGTCTCTCCATAAATTCATGAATTCAGTACAGCTTAGCTTAGTTTGCCATTCTTTATTTTACTCCTTCTTTGCATTCGGACAATTCTCCTACTTTAATACTTTTTTATACATATTTTGCAGGCTTCTGTGTCTGTGTGTTTTTTGCGACAATTTGCATTTGTAAAGTTTTGGTGGAAAATTGTAGTAGATTATCATGAAAATTTAGAGAACTGACTTCTGAAGTTAGAATAGAAGGAGGCTTAAATTTCGCATGATTTCGGATTATAATAAATTACTTATTATTACAGTTAGTAATGAAATGGAAAGCATAATGTATGTCTATGCAAATAAATACTGTTTAAATTTGACCAAGAAATTTATAAATTTAAGCTCTCTTTCCGAGACTGTATGATTTATTTTATTTATAATCTCAGGCGTTGAATAATGAATACAACAAAGCAAGAAAAATCAGATGACACATCACCAATGCTGAAATGGAAGAAAGTTGTAAATACAACGGGTCCTACTCCACGGTACGTTTCTGGAATCGATCATCATTTATGACAAGAGATGAATAAAAAAGAAAAATAACTGAATCAGTTGTAATCACGCATATTTATGGAAGCAGTTTTGGTCGGTTGAGTAACATTTCATGAAAAGTTTGGATTGATTTAAGAATAGCATCTTGCTTGTTCTAAATTTGATATAAATTATTCCATGAAGTATTTTTAAAAATCGCATTGTTTGATAGACCACGTCATGGGCATCGGGCGGTTTCGATCAAAGATCTAATGATAGTTTTTGGTGGAGGCAATGAAGGTATCGTCGACGAGCTACACGTCTATAATACAGGTTTTTGGTATTTCGATTACGGAACTTCTTCCTGAAAGCCATCTTTTACGTGGGATTTTTTTCCTTGCAGTTGGCTTGTATTATAGTTGATGTTGAATTTGACCGGTCTTTAAAAGCATGTGTGCTATTTTTTGTATTTTATCAGCTACATTTCTGTCTGTTTCTCTGATGTATGTCTGAAGGCATACTTTGTAATTGTGTGGAATTGCTAAGTCGGTAGAATAATAATTTCTTTTTTCACTTAGCAACAAATCAATGGTTCGTTCCGGCTGTTAAAGGTGATGTGCCACCAGGATGTGCAGCATATGGCATTGTTTGTGATGGTACTAAAATTTATCTCTTTGGCGGTATGGTTGAATATGGAAGGTTTGTATATTAAACTTTTACTAGATAGATGTTTCTTAACCAAGTTCCTTAAGTTCTGGATAAGGCGTGGAAGCAGCGCTTGTCAGGTTTTTGATAATATGCTTCTAAAATATAGCTTATCAATTTCATTTTAGATATTCCGCAGATCTTTATGAACTTCAAGCCAGTAAATGGCAATGGATACGCTTGCAGCCACAACCACCGAAAACTGGCCAACCTGCTCCTTGTGCTCGTTTGGGTCACTCTTTTACGCTTGCTTCGAATCAGGTTAATTCATTTAAAATACAGAATTATTGGTGATTTATAGTATTTATATGTTTTATAGCAAAAAGGTGCAGTTTTGTATGGTTTGCGCTTTCAGGTTTGTTACGTGTTTGGTGGTTTGGCTAACGCTAGTGAGGATCCGAAAAATAATATTCCACGCTACCTGAATGATTTGTATGTTTTGGATCTCAAAAAAGCAAATAGTGGTCTGCAGTGGGAATTTCCCGATGTGAGTTGCAAGAATTTGAACCAATAAGTTTTTCGTTTTTTCATCACTGGATGAATTTTAATCTCAGATGAATGCCGAAAAGGTTATCATATAAGACTTTTGCATAGCTCACATTGGTTAATTTTATTATGTAGTTTGAATTCTTTTCTAATCTATTTAAATGGCTTTCGAATCCTTTAGCAACTAATTAGCAGCTATGATATACTTCATGTTGCTAGTAAGACTAGAACATTTTCTTGAACGAAAGATGATTGAAAACTTCCATGTATGTCAGAATGACAAGGATCCTTTGCAATTTTCAACTCTCATCTTTCATTAATCATTTGTGCTTTATTGTAGACTTATGGGTCTCCTCCGCCTCCACGCGAGTCACATTCTGCAGTTATAGTGGAAAAAAATGGTGAACATCGACGAATGATAATCTTTGGTGGGATGAATGGCTGTCGTCTTGGTGATTTATGGATTTTAGATCTTGTTTCAATGACGTGGACGAAGCCTGAAATTGGTGGAGTTCCTCCACTACCACGTTCGCTTCATTCTGCTAATATCATTGCTGAAAGGTACTTTTTTCATGTTTGGAACAGATCTCCAAGAACATGAATTAAAGATAGTGAGGAACTAACAACTTCCTCGTGATTAACAGAACAGTGAAGTATGACCTTCCAATTCCTTGCCGTCACTACTTGAAGGAGAAAATCTGGCTAAAATAAATAATTAAATAGACTTGTCCTTAATTATTATGATCTGACATATTTGCACGAGCTAATTCGAATGGACGTGATGGTCATCTAAGATTGAATTTATCAATAAAATAGTTATCTAAATCGTATCACTATAATTCTATATTCAGAATGATAATGTTCGGCGGATGGGTGCCTCTCTTGACGCCCGATATGAAACTACAGCAAATCGAAAGAGAGTGGAAGTGCACAAACACACTCGCTTCATTGAATCTACAAACAATGTGCTGGGAAGATCTGTCGTTAGAACTCCTTGAATGTGAGTTACGATTGATAAATAATGCTTCAGTTATTTAAAGGCTTCTCAAGAATGTTCAGATCTTTGCTTTCTAGCTTATCAGTCATTGTGAACCTACGATGAAGTGTAATATATATAGGAATTGATAAATTTAGCTGCAGTACCCAGAGCCCGAGCAGGACACAGTGCAGTTGTTATTAATAAACGTTTGTATGTGTGGTCCGGAAGAGATGGATATCGTAAAGCTTGGAACAATCAGGTTCATTTTTACTGGTAACAAATTCCAAGAAGTCGAATTTCATCAAATTTTTTTGACAGATTCAAAAATTCTTATTTTGGTACATTTGTTCGCGGAGAATTCGTTGCGAGCTATATTAGGTAATAGCAGTGGTTGACCACATTTTTTGTTGAACTTTGGTACAAAGTATCATTTAAGGTCTGTTGTAAAGACATGTGGTATCTGGAAACGGACAAACCGGATGCACCGGGGCGTGTACAACTTATTCGTGCAACAATGTCAGGTTTGGAAGTATGTTGGAATGCAGTACCTACAGCTGAAGCGTACTTTTTGCAATTACGTAAATTTGAAGCGAAACCTGATGATAGTTAGTTTTATACTGATTTAGGTAATTAGTTCCAAGTCATAGTCTGAGGTTTCTTAAAGTTTTGATATTCAGTTTAGAATAAATATTTTTGAAAAATACGGTTTCATAAATAGTAGATTTCGAGATATGAAGCCAGTTTCATTTTTCATTAAGTTTCATATAGCTCAGGGAAATTGTTTTGAATCCCGTGCTCGCTATAAAAGAGCAATCATGAAAAGGCCAATTTATTGGTTCTTTTATTGTGGAGATCTATTTTTCATTAAGCTTCAATATGCATATATAGCTCAAAAAGGCATGAGAAGCTTCAATAAATTCGAAAGGAATTGCAAAGTGTGGGATTTTTTATCATTGGGATCAGCGCAAATCTTTTAGTTATCAAATCAGCAGCTGGTCTTCGTGTGACTTCGACAGAAAAACCGTTGGCAGGGAAAGTGATCGCGTTTCGAAGTACTGCGGGTAGTGGAGCGCAGGTTATGAAAGTGGTCAAAGGTACACCTCGCGGCTCAGGTACTATTGTGGCTCACGGTCCTCGCGGACATTTTCTTCGCGTTTTACCTTCACCAAGATTCAGCACTTCAAATCAGGTAAATTTGCTGTTTTTCTTCAACTTTCTGTTCATTTTTCATACGAAATTACCAACTGATTACGTTCTATTTTTGCATCCGCATGTATATGATTTTGGTGTACTTATTTCTAAAGAAAAAAGGGAAAAATGGTTAAAGATTGAAAGGTCTATAGTTGCGTGCTGAATAGCCGAAGTCTTTTTTTGTTTTTCTGGAAGTTGAGTATTCCCTCTCTGCTTCTCAAATTTTCGTAACTGATGCACGAAACTCCACTGACTTTCCAATTTTTTCTTCTTTATTGGCATAAATCTTTCAGTTTCCTGTTTTCAAGGCTTGTATGTGGTAGTTTTTACTTTTCAGTGCTCGTTTCCGTGAAATGTGCTGTTTGCTTAGTTTGTTCTTTTTATCCTGTTTGGTTGCTGTAATCTGAGACTAATTTTATGTTTCATTAAGCTGCGTTACCCGTTCTACAACATTGGAAGTTTCGTCTCTTTTTCTGTTACATCAGTAAGGGAGTAAGAGAGTCATCACAGATAGAGCAAGTTAAAAATTAGGTCAATCATCAGATACCTCAATTTTTGGCATGTGCTGAGTCAGCTTTCCGAGCTTTGATATTCTTTTTTCAAAATGTCTTAGACCATACTTTCATTATCTTTACTGATGATTTCGATCTGTGCTTTTGTAACACTGCATTAGTTATAAGTTTGGGTTTTTGCCATACTGCACACTGATTTTTTTTCCGGATGTCGTTCTTCGTGGCATAACCGTTGCGCTCTTTGCATATATTTCGACGAATTATTTTCCAGTTACTCACCACTAACTTGGTATAGCATACTGAGAGATACATGATATACAAGTCGAAGTCGAATTCATACATTTTCGAAGTTTAACTTTGTGCCGGTGATTGGTTTAGTAAATAATGTCCCATTGTGATGGCAAACACGATAATATTAGCTCCCTGAAATAAAATGACTGTTAGTACTAGGGCTTATCCTGATTGTGTCACGTGGTACCATTTTTTTGCGCACTTTGCATGACGCAGTTGCCGATTTGGGTAAAAGTTAGTGCAGCACAATGTTTCTGCATTTTAAGTAGTATGTACGATAATTTTAGGCGACCATTGTCAAACATCCAGCTGCAAAAGCGATTCTAGTGACTAAGGCACCTGGAGCTGGCCATAATGCACCACATAAATTATTATTCCTACAGCAAGCGAATTGTCCCACTGTATCTGCCTCAAATGTTAGTGCTGGAGACAGCCCGCAACTGGCAGTTGTTGAATCTGTGTCATCACACGTTGTTCAGGCTGGAAACAGCAGTACAGAACCGACGGCAATAGCTACAGAACATACACCATCGATTTCCACACAAGGAACAACATATACCACTCCAGTGATGCCAAATGTTGATGTTCGTAATATGTTTATCATTCCATTGAGAAAGTTGTAAAAAAATGATTTTTATCCAGTTCAGGTTGTCATCTTACTCCCTTCAATGTCTCAGAGAGTCTCTCTAATCACATCGAAAATGAGACTTGGTTTTATCTTCCTGTTTCCTATTTTGTGATTATTTCAGGTCGGCTTACCACAAAATCTTTTGGATGAAATAGCACCGGATAGTGAAACTGGCATTGTTCAAAATATTGATGCAATTGATCAGTGTGTGAAGCAACTTAATACTACTGCTAGTGCTTATCGTTCATCTGGATCTGTTATGCATGATACTAAGAAAACGAATGTGTCGCCAGTGGGTGCAGTTCACATTCAGACAGCTACTAAAGTATAAAATTTGCATGACTAACATTTACCAAGTGTTCTACATCACATCTTACATCAGAATTTGAAAAAAAGCTCATTATATTGAAGTTAATTTACTCTTTACCGTTGTTAGAGTTGCTTATGATGAAATATTATGAAATAGATTTAGAATACGTTTCGGGGAATAATTTTCTGGTGACATAATTTTAACAAGTCTCATAAACTAAAGCTGCTTCATTTTTCAAAATATGAAACAGCTTTAGTTTATGAGACTGTATAAAATTGGTTCCAGAACTAATTTGTTTCCTTATTTCTTTTTACTTTTAGGTCCAATGTGCACCATCTGGAGAAATAGTAACTTCATCCAAAATAATACGACCAAAAACAAATGTAATAGCAGTAACTGCTTTACCTCTCGTTGATACTCAACTTGAAATGCCCTCATGCAGTAACGTTATTCAGAGAAAATCTCCCATGGAAAAGGAAATTAAGAATGAGAATGAACCTGATCCGGCAAGCAATGCTGACAATAATAAACTTGGTAATTATTGATTTTATGATCTCTATTTCCTCTGAAACTGTGCTTTTTATTTCGCCACTTTGCCTTTGCATTTCATATGATATTTTGACATTACATCACTTCAAAACCGTAAAAGAAAAAGCAACTTTTCTATTTCGTTTCATACAATTTTGTTGTAAAAATCACTTGTAAAATAGTTGCAGACAAAACCGAAGTTATGGCAGTGGTTGAATGTAAAGAAGAAACTGATGGAAAGGATGAAGGCAACGTTGAAGAGGATGTTATGCCTGTTAAACAAATGAAGATTGAAAATACTGATGAAGATAAGAAAACTGAAATGGATGTTCCTCTCAATAAAAAGAAACCAAGCAACGATTTAGATTCATCACGTGATAGCGGAAGGCTGCAAATAGTTACCTCTCACAGCGGTGAAAGCTCAGCAGATGTTAAGAAATCGGAGCTTTTGAACTCTATATCTATAGAAATTGTGAAACCAATGGATTCTCTGAATGCAATATCGACAGAAACTCCAAAGCCAGTGAATCTGGCTATTGCAAGCCAGTCTGTATCATCTGTTACAGATACAGAAATACCTGCTACAATGGCAGTGACTGTGAACGCTGATAGTGTAGCAGTTAGAGAAGTTCCAAATACAGTTGTTACAAAGAGATATGGCCCATCTGTTACAGTTCTGAAAGTAGAATCCAGTGGTGCACAGTTCAGTCGATCTTATCGCCCCATCTCTCCAGAGGCAATTTTCAGCTTCTAAATTTTTAGTTTTAAAATGATTTTTTCCAAATCCTATTGGATATGACGTTGAGATTGAAAGCCGGACGTGATGATGGCTCTCTAGGTATAACTCATTAATGTTAATTTTTTCATGGGTTAACTGTCTATTTTTAGCAAAAAGGAGAGCCGGAATGGTGTAACGTTGGAATCATCAAAGGGACGAGTCATCTCGTAACACATTATTTTTTGCCATGTCCTACTGGCATAGAAGATGCTTCAGGGGTATTTTTCGTCTTCTTTTTGTATTAATATGTTATTACTTACATCATTTATGACCGATGAGAAATATCATTTGATATATATA